TCTCCATTATTTCCTCCATTTGTGTTTTCTTTAATTTTTCTAGTTCTATCTTCAGGTCTTGAGTTGTTTTGTTTACTTCCTTCACCTGTCTGCTTGTATTTTCCTCTTTTTCTTTTAGTTCCTTCAACTCTGTCTCTTTGATTTCTTTCAGTGATTTAATTATTTCTTCTCTGAAGGCCACAAGCTGTTTGGCTGCATCTTCCCGTATTTCTTCACGGATGGCCCTAATTTGCTTGTCTTTATCTTCCTCCATTTCTTTACGGATAGCCATGATCTGTTTGGTTTTATCTTCCTCTAATTCTTTACGTATTTTATCTGTTTCCTCTATTATCCTCTTCATCAACATAGATGTAAGGTCATCTTCTTGATTTTCTATTATGCTGCATTGTTCAGGGCTGTTCGCCTCTGGATGGCTGGGTTCTGGAGATGCCATATTGCTCTGTCTTTTGTTGGTTGAGCCTTTACGCTGACCTCTACCCATTGGGCTGATTTAGGTTTTGGCTGTTAGTTTCTGTGCTTCCTGGAGTCCTGAGGTAGGGAGTATCCCCTTGGCCGGAAGATGATTTTTCCTGAAGGAGTCCTTCTCTGCTTTTTGGTTATGGTCACTGTATGGCCAGTGTTTCTCTGGAGATGCCACTGCTCACCTCAGGTTTATAGCCCTGAGTAGTAGCTGTGGTCTATGTTAGGCAGGGGGGGATCTCCTCTTACCCATAAAATTTCTCAAGACAACTGCCCCACTGCTGGGTTTCTTGTTATAAATTTAGTGTGCTGCTGCTCACTAAATTTCCATGTACAGTCCTCTTGAAGAAACTGCTGATTCCCTAGCTATGCGGTTTTCTCCCAACAGGGAAACTCAGTCTGTTATCCTGGGGCGCACAGTTCTGTCTGAGAAAGTGGGAGGTGCACTCAGCAAGTCTCTGGGCCAAAGGCTGATTGCTCTGCTCTGGACCTGGAGAATGTGCACCTAGGTTGAGTTGGCGCCTGGGGGCGCTGTTCTGGTCTGGAGGCTGGGTGCCTCACTCTGGACCAGAAGCTGTGTGTCTCTGTCTGGGATGGAGGCTGTAGGCACCACGCTGGTCCAGACGCTGTGGGTGCAGCCCCCCTGAAGGATCAGGGATTCCCACAGTTTTGGCAGTCCAGCCAGGGACAACTGGCCGATCCCTGGCACAGTATCTGAGGGCTGCTGTAATGGCTTTTCGGCTCCTGCAGGTCCGAGGATGCAGCTGTGTGTCCCAGTGCCCCAGGGGAACGCAACAATGGCGGCAGAGCACAGCGCTCCTGCCTGCACTAGAGTCTGCGTGAGTCCAGGAAGTGTTTTGGTGCTGGGTGTCCTAAGCGTTAGAGCTGCTGACCCCCTCCACTGGCGGTTTCCTCCTGCCAGAGACACGCAGTCTGGTGCCCTGTTGCCCTGGTGCCCACAGTTCTATCTGAGGCGGCAAATCACGCGCGCAGGCAGGGCTCTGTGCAGGCAGGCGCCTTTGTCCCTCCCGGCTCTGGGTCCGGGCTGGCTCCTGGGGCACCCGCGGAACCCGAGTCTTTTCCAGGGGATGTCTGAGTAACCTGGGGTCGGTCCCAATTGTTTCCTGCTCCGTGGGGTTATCTCTCGACTGGGAAATCCAGTCTATGGTGTTGTGGGCCCACAGTTCAGTCTGGGACCGTGACCAGATCGCGCTGGCGGGTAGCTCTGGGCTGGAGACCAAGCGCCTGGCGGAAAGGGGATCTCTTCCTCGGTTTAGCCGGGTGAGTTAAAGCTGATCGAATCCCCCACCGTGGGGTATCCTCTCACCTGAGAAACACAACCACTTGTGTTTTATGGCCGCGAGTTCTGATTGCTGGTCACTGTGCTAATCCTGCTGTGCTGCTCCTCAGAATGAGAGTCCTCCCGGCGCTGCCCCATAATAAAATTCTTTAAGACTAGGCACAAACCCTCATATTAAGGCTAGAAGAGGCAACTCGGTAAGAGGAAGGGGGTTACATAAGCAGGCAAAAGAGTCAGAAATCCCCCACCCATACTATTAAGTCCCACAAAAACCTCAAGCTAAACAAACATAGTGCGTATGCAGAGGGCCTAACACAGACTCATGCAAGCTCTGTGGTTAGCAGTTCAGTCTCTGTGATCCTGCACAAGCTTTGCCTCGTTGATTCTGTGGACTGTCTTCTCCTGGTATCTTTTCTCTCCCGGGCCCATACACTTCTTCTTCCCCACCTTGTACAGGGTTCCCATATCCCTGCCAAAAGTTTGGCTGTGGGTCTCTGTGTCTTTTCCCATCTGCTGCTGAATGAAACATCTCTGATGACTATTGGGCTAGGTACCAATCTATAAGTATAGCAGAATATCATTAGGAATCATTTCATTGATTTTTTTCATCAGTCATGTTTGGCTCTAGCCCATGTTTTTGAGACATCCACCTTCCCATTCCTGGATATCCTGGATAGTATTAGGCATGAGGGTTTTTTGGGTTGGTTGGTTTGGGGGGTGGTTGTTTGTTTGTTTGTTGGTAGGTTGGTTTGTTTTTGGCTTAGGCATCAAGTTAGACAATTCATTGGTTGGCTACTCTCATGAACTCTGAGCTGCCATTGCCCTAGGGATCTAAAAATATGTGGTTGAGTTGCTCTCCCAGTTCCACCACTTAGAGCCTAGCCTGGTTACAGAAGATAGCCAGTTCAGGTTCCATATGTTCCAAAATATTTACTAACATTTGAAACTCCTCTTTTGATAACTTACTGTTTGGCTCTATAGGCCATTTTTACTAGGTTGTTTTCTTCATAGAGATTTTAGGTCTTTAGATAATCCAAATAGTAATATTTTGTCACCTATATAACTAAAAAAGAATTTCTTCTATGTGGTAGACTACCTCTTCATTCAATTGAAAATTCTCTCTGTTGTACAGCTTTTAATTAATTTTATTAAGACCTATTTGCCAATTGTTGGTTTTACTTCCTGAGTAATCAAAGTCTGGAAACATTTCCCTAACCTATGTTTTATAGTGTATTACTATGGTGGTTTGAATGAGAAAGGCCCCCATAGGCACATGTATTTGAACACTTGGTCAGTTGGTGGTACTGTTTGGAGTTACAGAACTCTTGAGATATAGACCTTTGCTTGAGAAGTGCATTCTTGGAGGTGAGTTTTGAGTTGATAGCCACACTCCACTTCTGATACATTCTCTTCTTTGTGTATGTAACTGGCAAGATGATTAGACAACTTACTGATGCAACACCTGCTTCAGTATCTTCCTTGCTCTTATGGACATCCACTCTGGAACCATAAGCCAAAATGAACTCTTCCATTAACTCATTGGTCAAAGCATTTTATCATTACCACAAAAGTAATTAATACAACTACCAACATTTTCCTCTGACATCTTCAGAGTTTCAAGTCCATTTTAGCACTTTTTGTTTTCTTATTGCTCTAGCTAATAATTCAATCCCTATATTGAATAACAGCAGAGAGAGAGAGAGAGAGAGAGAGAGAGAGAGATTTTCTTCTAATTTTAAATAGAGTGCTTCAATTTTTTTCTCCATTTAGCATGATGTTGGCCATAGATTTATAGAACACAGATTTTATTAGGTTAAGATATCTTCTTTCCTCTCCAGATCTTCCTATTTCCCACTTCTTACATAAGATTCCACGCACACTGCCCAACAGTTTCCCATGAGTCTCAGCATCTGTTTTGATAGTCTGGAGAGGACAGGAACTCCACAAGGAGAGCAACAGAACCAGAAATTTGAACACAGGGGTCTTCCCAGAGACTCATACTCCAACCAAGTACAAGGCATGAAGATAACCTAGAACCCCTGCACAGATGTAACCCATGGAAGTTTAGTGTCCAAGTGGGTTACAAAGTAATGGGAACAGGGACTGTCTCTGACACAAACTGATTGGCCTGCTCTTTGATCACCTCCCCCTGATGGGGGAGCAGCATACCAGGCCACAGAAGATGACAATGCAGCCACTCCTGATGAGATCTGATAGACTAAGATCAGAAGGAAGGAGAGGAGGACCTCCCCTAACTGTGGACTTGGGGAGGGGCATGTGTGAAGAAGGGGGTGGGAAGGTGGGATTTGGAGGGGAGGTGGGTGGAGCTTATGGGGGGATATAAAGTGAATAAAGTGTAATTAATAAAAAAAATCAAAAAAGATCTTCTTTCAAACACTAACATATTCATGACTTCTATAATGAAATGATGAATTTGGTTAAAGGCTGTCTCTGCACTTACAAAGATGATCATTCAATTGTTGACTTTGAAGATATTATGTAATGAAAAAATTCATTATTAATTAAATTATATTGAATGATTATTTTTTATTAATGAAGTTAAATGGGTCTCGATTAAGAATCTGTGATATTTCTTGAATTCTGCTTACAAGTATTTTGAGGCATCACATGTAACATACAAATACACATAATTTAAAGTAATAAATTATTTGAAAAAAAGAGTAAAAAGTATCCCTTTACCTTAAGACCTTAAAGCAACAGTCCCTCTTCTATGTCTAAGAGCTTTCTTCAGAGAAATATTTTTCTTTAGGAATTCATATTTGTTATCTTTCTTTAATATAAATGAAATAATCCTTTTCATAAGATATTGTTATTCCTTACTAAGTATAAGACAAAAAAAGAATATGTGTGAATATAAATAAACATATCAAAACAGGAAAGGAAATATTTTTCTCTGAAGTTGGTTAACAATGTATGCCTATATTCTGTTAAGACTGATCAGAGTGCAGGTGTTTAATAATTTGTTTATAACCTATTATCTGGTTAAATACTCTCATCATTGCCATTTTCATTTCTTGGTTCCTAAATGTATAGATCACTGGGTTAAGAACGGGAGTGACAATTGCATCAAATATGGACAGAAACTTATCCAGGTGTGTGTAAGATGGCCATGTATAGATGAACATGACAGGACCAAAGAATAAGACCACTACAGTAACATGAGCTGAAAGAGTAGACAGAGCCTTAGAGGAGCCACTTGAAGAGTGTTTCTGAACAGTAAATATAATAAAAATATAGGAAATAATCAATATGAAGAAGGATCCCACAGACATGAATCCGCTATTGACTGACACCAGTAATTTCAATCTGTTTGTGTCTGTACAGGCTAGTTTGATGAACCTGGGAAAGTCACAGTAGAAGCTGTCCAACACATTTGGTCCACAGAAAGGTAAGTTTACCACAAAAGCCAGTTGAACTAGAGAATGCATAAGACCAATAACCCAGGAAGCTACTGAAATCAAGATGCACATCCATGGACTCATAATGATCAGGTAATGAAGAGGCTTACATATGGCCACATATCTGTCAAAAGCCATGGCTATAAGTAAAACCATCTCCACACCACCAATGAAGTGAATGAAAAAGATCTGAGTAACACAACCTCTAAAGGAGATGACTTTATGCTTTCTCAACAGATCATAAATCATCTTGGGGGCAATAACAGAAGAAACACCCAAGTCAATGAAGGAGAGGTTTGCCAACAGAAAGTACATGGGAGAGTGTAAGTGAGGGTCAGATGCCACAGTGAACACAATGAAGGAGTTTCCAGTCATGCTTGCTACATAAAATATAGAGGAGAACACAAAAAGGAATAATTGGATGTTCCAAGAGTTGGTGAGTCCCAGGAACACAAACTCTGATACCATAGACTGATTCAGACCTTCCATTGGTTTTGTTGGCAATGCTACCTGAAGGAAGAAATGGAAAAGATTGTACATTATAATTGTGTTTATAGAATAGGACAATCTCTACGTTATGAAAACCTAATTTTACTATAAAATGGCAACTAACTTAAAGACATATATGGGAGCAAGATCTATACCAATAATCAAAAATATATAAATTAGTTTGAAATATGATTTAACACCTATAACAAAAATTTTCATCAAAACTTCAAGTGATTAAAAACAAGGAAATTGTGGAATTTACAGGCAAATGGATGGAACTAGAGTGAGGTAACCCAGAAGCAGAAAGACACACATGGGATATACTCACTTATATGTGGATATTAGCCAGATAATATAGGGAAAACATACTAAAATCTACAGTCCTAAAGAAGCTAAACAACAAGGAGGATCTTTGATCTAAACAACAAGAAGATGCTTACCCCTCATTCAGAAGGGCAAACAGTGTAGACATCAGAAGTGGGAGAAGACAGGGAATAGAACAGGAGACTACCACAGACAGCCTCCGAAAGCCTCTAGTGATCAGGGTATTGAAGCAGATACTTGAGACTCATAGCCAAACTTTGGGCAGCGTCCAGGGGATCTTATGGAAGAAGGAAAAGATAGAAAGACCTGGAGGGGACAGGAGCTCCAAAAGGAGACCAACAGAGACAAAAAGTCTAGGCCCAGGAGGGGCAATAAAGACAAATGTTCGAGCAAAGGACCATGCATGGAGAGGACCTAGACCCCTTGCTCAGATGTAGCCCACTGACTCAGTCTCCAAGTGGGATCTCTAGTAAGGGAAGCAGGAGCTGTTCCTGACATAGACTCAAGGACCATCTCTATGATCACCTTCCCCTGGGGAGGCAGCCTTGACAGTCCACAGAGGAAGAGGATGCAACCAGTCCTGATCAGACTTGATAGGCTAGGTTCAGAGAGAAGGGGAGGAGACCCTCACCTATCAGTGGACTAGGGAAAGGGTATAGGGTGGAAGAGGGAGGGAGGGTGGGACTGGGAAGAGATGAGGGAGGAGGATACAGCCAGGATATAAAGTGAAAAAAATTAATAAATGATAAATCAATAAAAAATAAAAACTCAAGGGATAATAAGGTTTGATGGATTTTTTATTAGGGCCTCAAAGGATGGTTCATCAATTAAGAGCACTTGCTACTCTTCCAAATGACACTAGTTTTGTTCTCAGCATCCATATCAAACAGTTACAGTGCTTCTAGTTGTAATTCTAGTTCCAAGTAATCTAATGATATTTTTGGTTTCTGTGAGATTTCCAAAAACATAGAGCATAAAGTTGAGCACAAATACACATATACATAATTTTTTCATGAAAATTTATAATGTTCTTTAAATAGAGAATGTTCTTACAAATTTTTAATGACATTAAAGAAAAAAAAAGCTTTTCAAAAACTAAAATAGAGACTGGATTTGAAACACAGTATTGGGATGCTTTTCTAGAATGTTTAGGACCTTGGATTTTATCCTCAACAGTGCAATACAAAAAGAGAATGGGGAAGATTATAAGGAAAAAATGAAAAGAAGACCAAAGAAAAGATACAAAAGATTAAAATGGAACTCCCAACTACTATATGATATAGAAATTCTCACTTTAAGGGTATATATACAGAAGAAAACTTCATGTCAAACATGTTTCCCATTTTTATTGTAGCATTATTTATAAAAATTAATATTATGATGAACAACCTTTGTTCATTGAACATTGACAGACATATGGATTACAAATAAACATACATACATACATACCCAAACACACACAAAACACAATCATGTAAAGGTATTTTTTTCATCACTTTATGAAAATATTTATTATATTTTAGGTTTTGTTGTTGTTGTTTGAGACAGAGTTTCTCTGTTTAGCCTCGACTGTCCTGCACTCACTTTGTAGATCAGGCTGGCCTCAAACTCACAGATATGCCTGCTTCTGCCTCCCCGTGTGCTGGGATTAAAGGTGTGATCCACCACTTCTGGTCATGTTTATTTTTGTTTTAGAGAAGAAACAGTATAGTAGACAGCATTTGAGCTTTGGATTCAAAGACCCAGGATTAAATTCATTGTTCAGCTATGGACACTCTACTATCAGAAAAGATACTGAAACCTCTGATCTTGTGTTTTATATCTCTGCTAAACAAATTAAAATGGTTATTTCAGTTAAGTTAAAGGAATGAAACAAATATTACAATCATGTATTCAACAAAGATTGGGCAGGATAAGAGTGGAATAGCCATAGACACACTCATGTCCAAAATAGATATATGCTCCATTTGTGGGTACTCAATAAACGTTAATAATATCAATGCCTTTCTTTCTCTTGCTCATAGTAGTGACCAACTTATAAAATAAAGTACTTAAAAACATTAATGAATATTAAAAAACAGAAAGCATCAAACTCCTGTGTCTAAAATACATTTTAAAATGTACTAACTATCCCCCATTCAGTAACACTGAATTCATATTATTTTATCATTTAATATCGTATCATTCATAACACATTATTCATATTATTTTATTGACTAAAATAATTTCAAATGTAAAACTAGTGGATTTGCTCTCATGGAACACCATATCTATGTTTAGTACTCAATATAAATTTAATTCATTGATTAAGTCCTCAATCAACAACAACCGCTATACAGCTAATTTTGCATCTATCTTCTCATTAGTACATCCCAAATCTGAGAATCAGAAAACCTAGAAAATGAAGGAAAATAAACATTTGGTGAAAATGAAAAACTGTGTATTCATGTTCTTTGAAACACATAAGATATTTATGATTGTATAATATTAAATGTTGGGTAGTTATGAAGTGGTTTAAAAAATTGTAATCTTTGCTTTTAATCTTTCTAACTCTGCCCTAAGCCTGTTCTAAACATGCTTCCTTGGGTTCTTTCTTACCATTTCTTTAAAGTTCTCCTCCCCACCATGTGCCTGACCTCCATTTTCTAGAAATGTGCTTCTATTTTACAGAATATTCACCAAATGTTTTACAGAAGGTGATTTATAGCCACCTATTTTTTAAAAGTGAAGAGAAAATACATATTTGCCCCTTTTTATTTATATCTATTATGAATATTTTCCTTAGTTATCAGTTCATAATATATTAGACAATTCAGTCAATCAGCAGTGAGCATAGAATAGTTAATTTTGGCATAACATAGTAGAAAATGAAATAGTTGTTTGACTTCTCAAGGCCATTTACAATGTGGTTCTAGCTTAAAGGCAGTCAGGTACTTAGCTTTTTCCAATACTTCAAATGATGTTTAACAACCATTCTCCTGTGCTGGACACTTCCTTTTTCTGACTGCTCTCTGCTTTGCTCTAGACTCCAGCAAGCACTTTAGGATATGATAGCAGTTCCAAGCACAAACTCGCCGCTAAAAATAATCCATTCAAGCACTGATAAGTTTATTTCCACTCACCCATTTACCTTAATGAGAATGACAGCATCTTGGCAGAATCAGATTTCCCTGGGTCCTCTCACATAAAGTGTCACAAGAAATCTTCCATCAGGGAGAGAAGAAGCTAATTATCTCGAGAGGTAATACCTCGAGAGGCCACTGACCAAGAAGTGCTGCAAAAACATGGTAATTTAGAAGGATCACATGGATACAGGATTCTCATCCCTGGAGACTTACATGGTCTGATCTATGTGACCAAAGAGTTTTACAATTCGCAGTAAAATAAAGATGAAAATAAAATTGAGGTTGCTTTAGTATATCCTACATGGATATAATAGTTGAAAATTGCTCATTATACTTATTACTTAATATTAGGCAAACATATCATCAATTAATTGAATTTTAATTAAACCAATGAGCTAATTATGGTGTATTTTAAGAAGTAAAATGTGTATGAAACTTTTCATTTTCTGTAAAAAGTAGGTTGTACTGAAGAGTTTAAGTTAGCCTGGGTATAACTCCATTTTGAAATAAAGAGCCATCTTGACTGGGAGCTGAATTCAGGTACCAGGAAATATCACAAAATGTGCACTTGGCAGACAACAAAGTTAAATCTCCTAGCAACAGCCCCCAGGAAATAAAACAGAATAAATGCTTCATAGAAAATAGAGACAATCTCCCTGGCAATAATCAATGAGAATCGGTTGGGAATCAGCTGGGAAAATTCTCCCCAGTGTTTCAAATATAGTTTAGAAAAATAACAATTGTGATCATATGCCTTAGGCAATTGTGATTATGTGCCTCAGAGAAGGTCACCTTGCACCTCTAACTTTTTCCTAATCCTGTAACGTCAAGACATGTGCCCCCCCCCCACTTGCTGGCATGGAAACATGTGCCCCCCTGCTTGCTGGCATGGAAATCCCCTGTTCACAGACTTTTCCTTTAAAAACCCTACTCACTTAGAGCTCGAGGTCCCAGTTCTCTACTGCTGCATCAGTGGGACTTGGGTCCCAAGTTCGATCACTCTCGTAATAAAGCTCTCTTGCTATTGCATCAAGTCATTTTCTGGTGGTCTCTGAGGGTCCAGTGATCCTGGTATTACAGTATCATTACAGCTATGTTTCTAGATTTACATGTATAGAAGTTGATATAGTAAATATAAACCTCAAAAGTGAATGAAGCAACCAAAATATTTGTCAGTTGATAACAAAATAATGCTACCAATGCTACACATATCCAACCAATCAAAGTTTTATGACTTCCTGAAAAGAACACTGAAACCATATAAGAACAGTCACAACACAGCTTATACAAAAAGCAGACAGCAGAACAGCATCTAATATTCTGTTGTACATCTAAATAAACATGAATGTATAAAATATAGATTTATTTTTCAATAACTACCATAGTACAGTAAGAACTTTAGGAACAGTGAAGTACATTGTGGTTTAATTTTATAAAACTTGTAAGGAATTGGCTGCTACAAGAAATGGCATACTCATGTCAAGGGCTTAGACAAGTGCTTACTAAATCCACAAATAGCACAGACACAGAACCCAGGTGTAATTGGAGGGCTAA